GTTGTTCTCCTATGTTGCAATAGGATTGACCTATGGCTGCACAACAGTGGGTGCATTAAAAAGTGCAGCTGCTAGGTTGTAGTTAGTTTAAATATATTAGGAATGCATTAAGAATACATTACAGTCTATAATATTAAGACCACACTTCTAAAATTTTTTCTGTTGCGGCGAGGCAGCATTTTAACATTTAGCTAACCTGATGCGGTTTTCAGCTGACGTGGCCAAAAAATGTGGCTTGCCAAGTCACCTTAGCCGAGGTAAGTGGCCCAGGTCAGCTGAGCTGCGCCCTGATTAAACTAAGGAGCAGAGGAGCTGCTCTGCGAGTTTAAATATACATGTGTGCCCCCTGCCAAGGCGCTACTCGTAGCACTAGCGTGCTACTCGTTGCGCAAGCGAGGGAGCTGATGCCGCAGAGCATGTGAGGCGGTACACGCTGTCACAATTACTATAAGATTTTTATAAAAAGCTTTTTTATAGTTATACTTACACTTAAACTTTACTTTAAGCTTTAAGTAACACTTAATAAATATATTAAGCTAGTTTATGCTAATATAGCTGATATTATACTTAGCATGTAAAGAATTAGCTATATTAGCTACAGCTACTAGCTAGAGGGGAAATCCTTGCGTATTTAGCTTAAGTATGTGCTAAATAATTACCTGCTCTTTATTATTATCTAGCTTTTATAAGTTAGCTATATAATTAGCTTAGAAAAGTTATCTAGTGTGTTAGTTACTTATTATTTTTTAAGAGACTCTATAAATAGCTGCAGCGTGTTAGTTAAAAAGTGTTATGTTTTATTTAAAAGCCTAAAGTGTAAGCTACATCTAACATTTCTTTAACATGTTTAAGTAGTGTTGTTAGGAATGCATTAGTGTAAAAAAAGTAGTGTAGTAAGGTCTTAGCAAAAGTAAGCAACTTAGGTGTGTAAGCAACTTGCCTATAAAGTACGTTATAAGCACTAAGCTAAAAATCTTATATATAACTATATTACTTATATTATAAAACTTAAGTTCTTACTATGCTTTATACGCGCCTATAATGTAGTAATTACTTTTAGTAATATTTAAAAAAAGTTTTAAAGCGCTAGTTTAGTCTTATTTAACTTAAAATAAGTTAAAATAGCCTTTAATATCTAGTTATATACTTTATTACTACTACTACTTATTAATAATAAGCTTTAGCAGTTGTAAACCTTAAGTAATACTTTTAAATTTAAGTTATAATTAACACTTATAAAAGTAAAAATTTAAAGGCATATAAATAGCTTACTAATGTCTATAGTAAAGGCCTTTAAAAAAGTTTTAAAAGGGGTAGTAATTATTACACATAAGCTAGTGTTAGTGTAAAAGAAGATTATAAAGCTTTAAGTAGTAAATAAAGCTACTATATAATATAGATTACATAAAAGAAAGTAAATTTAAGTAAAAAAAACCTTAATAGTTAAAAATAGAGCTTATTTAACTACTTTAAAGGAGTTTAGAGCGCGTAGTAATAGAAAAAAGCTAAGGACATAAGTATGCGCTAAAAAAAGTAAGCTAAGTTAAAAGTAATATAAGTAGTGTAATTAGACTAAGCATAACTTATATATATATAAGTAAGTAGTAGTAGAAGTAAACTCTAAATAATATTTTATGTTGTATTACTTTATACAGGGCTAAAGTAGGCTGTTTTGCGCTAGAATAGGGTAGTTTTAGTAGGGGCTTAGCAAAAGTGGCTGGCTAACCTGTGTGGCTGGCTAACCTGTTAGGTACGTTAAAAATAATAAAATTATTACTATTTATATACTCTTTTACTTATTACACTTTTTATAATTATTTAATAGAGGTTGTTTTAATTTTTTAAAGAAAGTACATAAGCGTAAGGCTAAATACAAGGTAGCCTTTGTAATAGGCACAATGCCTAAACGCTCTTTTCTAAGCGTAGGAATTAAACACACAGTGCTTAGGGATAATGCAATTCTATTAGTAGAACAGGGGTGCAAAATTCTTATGCGCTAACTATCTACACTAAGCCGCAAACTAGGCTTATAACTGTTGTGTCGCTAAAAGATCAACCTTCTAGCTAGCATAGCAGAAGAATATATAGGCAGATAATTGTATACAACAAAAGCATATAATAAAACTTAATAAATAAAAGTATTTACGCTTTAAAAGTATAGCATAAAAGGTCTACTTAAACTATAGACTTTAAGTTAAACTCTAGAAAAAGAAAAGTAGATGTTATAACTACTAGTTAGGCTAGAGAAACATGCTAAGCCTCTAAGTCTATAGAAGAAGAATAGACTAACGCAAGTAAGAGCACAGCTCTAGAGATTATGTAATAATCTAAATTAAGTAATAGTAGTAATTATAAAATTATTCTATAATTACTTTAGAAACCTATAATTTAGGTAATTATAGATAGGTATATAGTCTTGTTCTCTCTCTACTATTTAAAAAATTGTGGTTATTCTTATCTTTTAAGTACAGCTTTAGGTATAGTAATATATCTAATATTCTTTTTAATATAAAGCGTGTAGAAGAATTTTATTTATTTATAAGAAACTAAACTTATTTAGTTATCTTAGTATTTCTACTTTTTTTTTACTTTTTACTAATTTTTTCTCTTACTGTAATAAGGTAGGCGCCCTGCCTGCCAAGCCGATACTATACGACTTTCCCTACTGTACTAAAAGATACGCACGAGAATACTTAAGCTAAGTATTCTCGCATAGTATAATATATATATAGATAATGCTAGGGCTAGCACTAGCGGTTGTCTCTAGTCTAGCCTAAACCTCTATAAGCGAGAGAAGGCCACGTGGTTGACTGTGCCTACCTTGTTACACTTACTATACTTCTAGCTAGATTGTATAGAGGACTATACACCCTCTTTACACTATTATATGTTAGAGAAGTATTATGTAACTCTCTTTACTCTATCCCTATCTCTTGCTCTCTCTCTTCTTCTAAGACTCTCTGTTACTATTAGAAGACACCTAGCAATAGAAAAGTTAAGGTAAGATATTATAACAAATAGGTCTAAATGTAGTGTGAATCTACTTAAAGCTATATAGAAGTGCGTGGGGACTTAGAAACCTAGGAAATCTATTAACACCTATAGGCCTTGTATAAAAGGATATTAGAGAACTATAAATCTAGCTAAGAGAGGTAGCTAAATACTTAAAAATAGAAGTAGTGCAGAGGGTAGAGCAGAGTAAGGGCAGATACAAGGAACCTTTAGATGTAGGTTTGTTAGGTAACTTTAAATAGAACAACTAATGCTAGTTGTTATAGTTTCTGTTACATATTAAAATCTAACCTAGTTTAGAAGTATAGTAGTAAAGCTATAGTAATCTTTAGTTAAGCTAGTATATAGTAAAGAAGGTTTGTAACAACTATATTACTTAAAAAATTACAAAAGTCTCTTAGAGAGCTTAGCAGAGAAAGCGTTTTCAAGTCTCTAATTAGCTAGCCTTATTAGTAGAGGAGCTAGTAGGGGTCCCTCTTCTAGTTGCAGGGTTCTTAGGGGCTCTGAGCTTCTCTGCACAGTCGGCTGAGCACCTGTGAGAAGTATTAAGCAGGAAGCACAAGGCATAGAGAGGGAATGCAGGATAGAGGGGTGTAACGAGAGTATACCTTAAGGTCGGAGACAGAAGTACGGAGGCCGAGGAGCCTATATACCCCGTGCCAAGCCCAGGGTGTTTAGGGGTTGGATAGCTGTAATATAACTGTGACAGTACCTGAGATAAGCAAAACTCTTTATCTTCATCTCCAAGATTCAGAATCCGAGTTCTATCTATGTGCCATCTTCGACAGCCTCAACGTTTGCAAATATCGCCTACTCTCGCAAGACTCTAATACTAACACAGGTTTCTGTGCCTTTGCCCTTCCTGGTGGTGAATCAGCAGATTCAGACATTGTTGACTTGAGTTTCATCCACGTTATATCAAAGAACCTATGTTTCTTCTGTTCGTCTTAAGCCCGCCAACGTCGTTGGGACCACCAATTCTCTAGCTCTATGATGACAACGATGGAAATTAAAGCAACAAGACCCGTGACTACAACCCTAACAACATTTCCGTTCTATTTTAAAGCTTTGTATGGATTCCTTTGTGAGCCAAGCGGCTGGCCGACCAAACAAAGAGAAATAGTGGTAAACCACTTACCATGCGTATACAACCCCGTACTCGTGGAAAACAGCGGACTTAAAACTACTGGCTCTCCACTCGCCATTTTCGTAACAATATACGACACGACATCCATCCCATTAAACAGCGCTACAGAAACTCTCCCGACAGGAAGCTCAATACTACCAATAATGAACAGCACCTCGTTCTTTGGAAGAAACTTAATTTCATTTTCTTGCTCGTCTACGGCAAGAGCTGCAAGCCTAGGATGCTGGAGTTGCTGGTGAGGGAGCCATTAACATTGTGCCAAGTAGTGCCGTCCCATTTTTTGAGGAAGGCATTTTTCGAGGAAGGCATTTTTTGAGGAAGGCAGATGCGTTGGCGCCTTGTCCAGGGATCCAGAAGCGTCCTGTTCGGTGGGGATCATGGCGGTGACGACGCCCTTTAGAGAGTGTATTTCATTGAAAGATGTCCACTGTTTGGCGGGAGCGTAGTATGGCACTCCGCCTCGTGTTCGTCACAACATGACATTACCAGATAGTCTAGTCCAATCCGCCTCCACAGAAGCAGACTAGCAGAGGTGAAAGGCCAAAGGGAACGCGAGGATAGACATGAAAATAAGCACAAACGCGAAGGTAGCCACAGGTAAAATCCAAAGTAACACGAAAGTCTCGGGATGAGCGATCAACTATGGATGATTCAGCCACATCACGTGATAACGGAAAATCCCCGACGCGCCAAGCCATTGCCTCTCCAAAAAGTCCAACGCCACCCCGCCCTCTGATCTACCTCGCTCTTTGCGATTCTCTGTTTCTCCTCACAAACTTTCGCCAACAATCTCCCCATGGCCGACGAAGAGTCCCCTCCGGGCCGCACCCACAACGTCGCCATGACAGACGCTCCTGAGGCCTACGCGTCCACTTCTGCCCGCGACGCTCCCCCCGAAACCGCCTCCACCTCCAAAGCAGACACGCCGTACATCAACCGCGATGGGAAAACCGTAAGGAGGGTGCGTATCTCTAAGCGTCGCCCTGCGCGCGTCCAAGTCGACCCGGCCACCTTCAAACCCGACGAACGTCCTGTGCAAACTGGTACCATCTTCAACATCTGGTACAACAAATGGAGTGGAGGAGATCGCGAAGACCCATACTTATTCAAGCGTCAGTCGCCCTATCGATGTGTCATATCCCGCGACTCTGGGTATACACGGGCAGATTCTAATGCGGGGAGAACCTTCTGTCTCTACTTTGCGCGTGGTTCTTGTGTCAAGGGTGCCGATTGCGAGTACTTGCACCGCCTACCGTCCATTACAGATATTCCCCCCAGTAACGCTGATTGCTTTGGTCGTGAGAAGGAGGCGACTTACCGTGATGATATGGGCGGCGTGGGAAGCTTTGAGCGTATCAACCGGACCTTATACGTTGGCAGGATTGCACTTAAGGGTAGTCCGGGTGAGCTTGAAGAGGCTGTTGCGAGGAACTTTGCGGAGTGGGGAGAGATTGAAAGGACCCGAGTGCTAGGAGGAGGTCTGACTGCGTTTGTCACCTACATGAACGAGGGTAAGTCTTCTCCCAGTCTTTGATTTTGAGACTTAAGCTACCTGTGCATAGCAAATGCCCAATTCGCTCGCGAAGCAATGGCCTGCCAGTCGATTGGCGGTGGAGACGAGAAGAATCCGGAGATTCTCAACGTTCGCTGGGCCACCCCCGACCCGAATCCAGCTGCCCAAGCACGCGAAGCACGTCGCATCGAGGAGCTTGCCGCCGAGGCAATTCGTCGAGCTCTACCAGCAGCCTACGTCGCCGAGGTCGAGGGCAGAGATCCCGAGCAGACGAAGCGGAGGAAGATAGAGGGCACACTTGGACTCGAGGGATACGAGGCGCCAGACAATGTATGGTATGCTAAGGAGAAGGGCCAATTGGAGGCGGGTAAAGAGGAGTCAAAGAAGGAGGAGGTCACTCAGGGGAGGTCGCGATACATTCCACCTGGCCATGAGTACAGAGATGGCGAATGGTACAAGAATGGTGAGAGGCTCCTCAAGCCTTGGGAGCACCACTATATCAAGAACTTCTGGCGCAAGTCAATTGAGAAACTGGAGGAGGAGAAGCCATCGATGTGGGAGGAGCTAGCTGAGGAGCGTAAAGGGCACATTACGGACCTGCTGAAGAAAGAGAAGGAAGAAGAGGCCAGGCACCCTGACTGGTTCCCGCCACAGCACGCCCCCTGGCGCCCACCAATGAAGAAGGTCCGTTTGGTGGAGTATTCGGATAGCGACGGTGACTAGGTTTGCTGTCTGTAGCCCAAATACTACCCAACTTTCCCTGTATAATAGTTGAGCATCAGCAGCATTATAGCTGATAGCATAATGCCCCAAAAAGATCTTCCCAGACAATTTCGAAATAACTGCGTCCAAAATGCTCACATTAACTTCTTAATGGTAGTAGAGCAGCGCACGCGTGCCTGTACTTCATAATCGTAGAATGTTACACACGCCGCAATCCTATTAATAGCATAGACTCCTAGCAAATAAATTCCCACCATTTTTGCCTTAATATGTACAAAGCATGTTCAATCCAACTGTACTACACTTAATTCGTCCATTAGCTAGCGTCTAGTTGACAATAAGTGCAGCTGGTTAGCCTAACGGCCATCCAGGGCGTGCAAGGACGGGGCTCTGTACCACTCCTCCAATACAACCAAAAGGTGCGAATGATCAACCAATAGTTGAATCTACGTACAGAACAGTATATATGCTTCACAGTGCACAGCCTATGCGTAAGCACGTGATTAGTAATAGAGGTTTCGGAAAGGCTTTACTAGAAGGTCCTATATGTAAGGACAGATCTCTGTACCACTGCGCCAATACAACCAAAAAGGTGCGAATAATCAACCAACGGCTGATATTGCGTACAGAATAGTATATATACCTGTCGCGCGTAAGCCATCTCGGCCTTACACTATGTGTACTTAACAACTCTCTTTCTTTATATAAAGTGAGAGAGTAGTAGTTGATTATAAAAAGATTCTTACCTACTTACCTTTATTACAAGCTGTACGCTTAGCTTGCAGCTGCCCACTACCTACCGCGTGCGTAGCCACGCAGAGAAGGGACCTACTACCAGATGCGTAGCCATTTAGAGGAGTGAGCCAACCGACATATAGGTATGTTTTAAAAGTGCTACTAAAAAGTTAGATATTCTAGTGTATAAAGTATAGCAAAGCTAATTATATTTTTGTTTATTATAACTACAATCCTCTACAAAGTGCAGAGGGGCGGTTCTATACATCTAGTAGTGCTCTCTATTCTCTTTAGAACACGTTGTTCTCTTCGGAACACACTGCGTGTTCTTCTGATCATAGCGTGTTCGTCTGATACTTGCGAGCACATCACCTGATCCGACAATGTCACGTGAGCGCCGTCCGTCCGTCCTTCTCCTGTAACAGGCCGTCAGCTTGTCTAGATGTCCATTCCGAAGTACCCATATTCTCGTCCCCACCTGGCCTTCTGCCTCCTTCTACCGCCTTCAATTCTAAAATATCAAGGATAGGTTGGACTATACTAATGAGCATGGCTGGGTGCTCCGACCAAGGCACCTTCTCACTACCTTCCAGATCTCAGTGGTGCCTCGTTTCCGCCATTCCATACATGCCCTGCCTTGGCAACACCGACCCGCGGTTGTTGACGCTGGTGGGTGTCTGTAGGTGCTCCGGACAAAGCAGACTATAATAGAATCGGTTCTTGAACGGAAGCATGGCTATCCCGGTTACCCGGCCGAATCCAGGCGCTTGCGCACACAATGCTGATTAGCTTTAGAAAGAACCGCTTTTACCTCCTACATTGCGTCAACCTCACTTTTCGGCTAACTTAACACTACTTTTTTGAAACTTGAAGAGTTAGGCGTCCTATCCAATCTTCCAAGGTTTCTTCTCGGCTGTTGACTACTGTATGTTTGGTGTGATGCCAAAATTGCGAGGGAATTTCAACGAAGGTATGCTTCTGGTAGTTCTTCAGCCGGTCTTTGTGCTTATCCCGCTTAATGCATTGACCGCATAGGCTGAGGCATGCGCAACTCTTGCATACGTATCTAATCCCAGTGATACGAAAGTCGCAATTCTCACAATTAGCCACATGTTGGGCTTCTTTTCCTCGGATTATGGCCTGTTCAAAAGCAGTAACTGCGTCTGCTTCTTCGCCTAAGTGTAGCAAGCAGTACCCCAGATTGCTAAACGATTCGGTCGACAAGCTAAGTGACCCCAGAAGACAATGAATAGTATTTTGGAGATGGCTCCGCGCCGTTGAACTATCCTGCGCTCTTTTATGGGGAAGGTAATCCGCTATCATCCGCGGCGGCGACTGATAACCAGAAGCCCAGTCCAAGGAACTCCTTCCAAAGCCATCAACCAGTGACAGATCCGGGGATCTCTGAACCAATGACCCTAAAATGTCCACTTGGCCAAAGTATACTGCTATGTGTAAGGCGGTACTGCCAAGAATGCTTTGCGCATTGATGTCAATTCCCAGGTCAAGTAGTCGATTCACCACTGCAACATGTCCTTTCCGTGCCGCGACATGTAGCGAGGTCCAGCTGTCGTTTGATTTCTCTTTTGGATCAACCCCAAGGTCCACCAGTCGATCCACCATCGCAACATGGCCATTCTCTGCTGCCACGTGAAGAGGAGTCCAGCCGTTATTCGATCTCTCTTTTGGATCAACCCCGAGTTCCACCAGTCGATCCACCATCGCCAAATGTCCCTTAAGTGCTGCCTGGTGAAGAGCAGTCCAGCCGTCATTCGATCTCTTCTTTGGATCAACCCCGAGTTCCATCAATCGATCCATCATCGCAACGTGGCCATTTTGCGCTGCTATATGAA